GCGATTAGTCGAAGGTAAAAACAAACGCGACAAACAACAAACAAACAAACAAACAAATTTTTTTTCCAAATAATTTGACTCTCGAGACTTTTATTAAAAACGCATTCGTATGGATTCGAATTATTAGCTCTTAATTAAATGTAAATAATAAATCTTCGTTTTCCAAATACATTAATAATAATAATAATAATAATAATAATAATAATAATAATAATAATAATAGTATAAATAAAAACTTTTAGCATCGTTAACGATGTCAATTTCCATGGATTTCGAAAACATATATATATATTAATGAGGCAAAGTTTTTTCGACGCACGATTTTTTTTATTATTTTTTTTTCGAGAATGTTCTTCTTACCCTCGATCCATCCGATGTAAATCTAACGGCGTTAACGTGTCTTGCCAACGTCATCGTTGTTATCTGGTAACACATTAACAAATCCAATCTCATGGCAGAATATAAATTCACTTTACCATCATATCCACCTGAGCAAAACAAATATCGATCCTGAAAAAAAAAAAAAAAAAAAAAATATTTACTCTAATTATTATTATTATCATCATCATTCGTAATCACTACGATTCGTTCTTAATGTTTTAGTCGGATTTATTCCAGGTTTTTAACCCCCCTCTCCCTCCGATCCCTAAGGAATATCAATCAGATGATTCTGCACGACTGCATCGTCTTGTTATGACTTATGACGTCACAACAATTATCGTAACTCTCTCACTGACACCATCTTATACGATTGTTATTATTATTATTATTAATCGTATCGTTTCTGACTTATTTATTTATTTTCAAACACACGTGGACGCATCAATTTCCACGTGTTCGTTTCATTAAGTAATATAAATGCGTATAATAATATTAAAGCGAGATGGATGTGATGACGTTAAGTTTAAAAACCCACACGGGTACCATTTTGAAAATGAAACATATCATCAAAATTATAATTTTAAATAAATAAAACAAAAGGAATGTACTAGAAAAAATTTTTTTTTTTTTTTTTTTGTTTAAACCGTGAAATCAGTGCAAATACAAAATTGATAACACATGATGAAAATATATATATGAGTAACCCTGATGAACAATAATTAGATAATTGTTTCACAATAATTATTGTAACTTTTTCTTCTTTTTCTACTTCTTCTTTTACTTCCAATAACATTTTCTTCAATTAATAAATTAAGAGTTAAAAAAAAAAAAAAAAAAAACTATTTGCAATTGTAAAAACATAATTAATAAAGTTTTTATGTTTTTAAAAAGTTTCTTACATGTTCGATTACTAAACCCATGAACACATAAATTGTAGATTTTCCTTAATTTATCCACAACAAACATTTAATAATTATTCTTATTATGTTAATAAATGAATTATTACAACTCTAAAAAGATTTTAAAAATGAAAATTACAAAAAAAAAAAAAAAAAGCAACAATGGGGAATAAAATAAAATGGCAACATTATTAATAAAATATCGACAAAGTGATTTTGTTAAATAAAATAACAAATGCATGGCCGAATGTTATTTTTCACTCAATTTCAATTGTAATTTATAAAAATGTGTATCCTTGTTAAGTTTTTATTTTAAGAAATACATAATTAATAATTTATTTATTGTTAATAACATATTTACAATAAGGGAAAACGACTGAAACAAAAAGATCATCTAAACAAAAGCCAAGCTGTAAAAGTCGAATAACAATAATTTTTTAATTTTTTTTTACTGAGTTATAACTAGACTCATAAAAAATTTTATGCTGTTCAGTTACAGTACATCAATTTATAACTAGTAAAAGTTAAATGATTAAAAAAAAAAAAAAAAAAAAAAAGTATGCAATACTTACTTTGGGACTGAATGCAACACCACGAACACTTTGTTGGTGATATTTAAGAAACCTAGGTTTTCCTTCCTGTTGCATTTTCCTTAAATTATTTTTCCTTTTTTTAAAAAATTAAAATTTCCTTTTTTGAAAAAAAAAAAAAAAAAAGGCCTCAAAATTAAATCAAGTGGCAGTGATTAAATTAATTTTTTTTTTTTTTTTTAAAAAAAATTATTTCCTAAATATTTTTTTGCGCATACATAAATAAATGTGTATGTATGTACAAACAGGTATATGTACAATATATATATATATAATTATTATAATGACTAAATAAGTAATCAATCAAAGGCTCCTTTTCACTTTTTCAAAATTGCCTTTTTGTCAAATTGTTTGTTGGTAAAAAAAAATTTTTTTTTTTTTTTTTTTTTTTTTCGGTTTT